AAAAACACTCAAAAACATACAAACACATGGAGGTTAAATAGCATTAACTTTATTAAACATTGAGTGGGTTACCAATAAGATCAATAAAGAAAGAAAAAGCTTCCTGGAAACAAATGAAAATGAACACATAACCCCAAATCTATGGGACACAGGGAAAGTAGTCCCAAGAGGGAAGTTCATAGCACTACAGGCCTACCTCAAAAAGCAAGAAAAATTTTTAGTAAACTATCTAACCCTACAACTTAAAGAATGAGAAAGCTCCTCTGTGAAGCCGTCTGGACCATGGCTTTTGTTTGCTGGGAGGTTTTTTTATTACTGCTTCAATTTCATCGGTTGTTATTAGCCTATTCAGGTTTTCTGATTCTTTCTGATTCAGTTTTACATGATCTCACTCATATGTGGAATTTAAAAAAACAGACTGAGGAACAAAATAGATCCAGAGACATAGAAGAATGGAACAGACTGATGAATCTCAGTGGGAAGGTGGGGGAGTGAGTGGGGATAGATTAATCAAAGAACTTATATGCATATATACATTAACCCATGGACACAGACAATAGTGTGCTGAAGGCCTGGGTGGGCGGGGCAGGGGTGGATGCAGGGTGGAGGGGATCAATTGGGAAAAAAGGAGGGATATCTGTAATACTTTCAACAATAAAGATAAATTTAAAAAAAGATAAAATAAAAAATAAAACAACACCAAAACCACAAACACTCCCATTAAAAAATGGGCCGAGAGCCTGGCAGGGCATGGCTCAGTGGTTGAGCATTGACCTATGATCCAGGAGATTGTGGTTCAATTCTCGGTCAGGGCACATGCCAGGTTGCAGGCTTGATCCCCAGGCAAGGAGTGTGCGGGAGGCAGCCGATAAATGACTCTCTCATCATTGATGTTTCGCTCTCTCTTTCTATCTCCCTCTCCTTTCCTCTCTCTGAAATCAATAAAGATATAAAAAAAAAAAAAAAAAATGGGCGGAGGACCCAGATATTTCTGTAGAGGTCAACAGACATATGAAAAAATGCTGCATATCACTAATTATAAGGGAAATGCAAATTGAAACTACAGATATCACCTCATATCTGTCAGAATGACTATCATCAATAAATCAACAAACAAGTGTCAACAAGAATGTGGACAAAAGGAATCCACAGGTACTTTGGTGGGATTGGAAATTGATGTAGCCACTACAGAAAACAGTATGGAGGTTCCTCAAAAAATTAAAAATAGAACTATCATATGACCCAGCAATCCCACTTCTGGGCTCTTTTTCGAAGAAAACAAAAACACAACTGGAAAAAGATATATGCACCTCCATGTGCACTGCAGCATTATTTATATTACTTAATGTATGGAAACAACCTAAATATATATCAATAGATGAATGGATAAAGAAATTTTGGTACCTCTATACAGTGGAATATTACTTGGCCATAAAAAAGAATGAAATCTTATCATTTGTCAAAACATGGATGGTCCTACAGGGTATTATGTTAAGTAGAATAATTAGACAGAGAAAGACAAATACTATATGATCTCACATATGACTTCACTTTGTTAGTGGAATCTAAAAAAAGTGAACACAAAAAATGCCCAAGATCACAGATAAAGCAAACATATGGCTGCTAATCAGAGGTGGGGTGTAGGGGTGGGTGAAATGACTGAAGGGGGCCAAAGGAACAAACTTCCAGTTATAAAATACACAGGTCACAGAGATGTAATGTATAGCTTGCTAAGTATAGTTAATAATACTGTATGGCATAGTCGAAAGTTGGTAATAAAGTAAATCTTAAAGGGTCTTATCACACAAATTTTTTGTAACTATGTATGGTGACAGATGCCAAGCAGATTTACTGTGATGAAAAAAGTTTAATAAGTAATTTTAATGATGAAATATAAAAAACTTATAGATGAAGCTTTTTTGAGATTATAAATAAAACAAGGATACCTATCATCACTCCTAATCTACATGTATTGGAGATTCTCAGTACAAAAGAGAAAAAACCCACATAATACTCAGAGAAACTATTAGAATTTTCAAAAATTTAGAAAGAATGTTTGGTACAAAAATCAACTGTATTTCTACATACCAAACATAGTTAGAACATGAAATTTAAGTAACAATATCATACACCAAGTTATCTAAAAACACTAAATACTTAGAAGTAAATTCAAGGAAAAAAATGTGTAGTATGTACACACAAACAGCTGCAATACATATTTAAAATTTTTTTTTTAAGATCTAAATGAATGAATTTATTCATGGGTTGTAGAGTCAATGCTGTATGAATGCCAATTCTTCCAAAATTGATCTATATGGTCAATGTAATTCCAATTGAACATGGCAGCTAAAAAATTTGTGGAAACTGTTACTTTAAAAAATTATACAAAAATGTAAAGTGGCAATCTTATAGAAGGAAAACAAAGCTGGAAAATTACTGTACCAGATACCTATTATGAAGCTACCGTAATTAAGACTGTGTGGTATCAGCACAAGGATAGACAAGTAGATTAGTGGAACAAAGTAAAAAGTCTGGAAATAGACCCATATGTTAACAGACACTTGTTTTATGACAAGTGGACATATTTGTTGAGCTGTAGGATGCTGTCTTTTTATTAACTGGTATTGGGTAAATCGGTTTGGAAAACTTTTGAAAAAAATTAAACTTGATCATTACCTTACACCCAACACAAAAATCAACCCCAGGGCATAATTGATCTTAAATGTAAAAAGTAGAATATTAAAGCTTAAAGAAGGATTTGAAAATATCTTTATGACCTTGAGGTAGGAAAATATTTCTTAAACACAACACAAAAAACACCAACTAAATGACAAGAAAAGATTGATGATTAAAATGAATAATTTTGTGTCCATGGGTTATGTGAAGG